TAACTGATTATTTATTTCTCTATTTCTTATATATTATTATACATTCATATATCTCAGTGAGTAATCATTTCTAATAAGAAGATAGAGAACATTTTTTAAGTGTAAGAGATCTACACTAAATAGATTAATATAATATATATAGATTTTATATAACATAGTGAAAAATGTTAGAAAACAAAAGAAAAGAGAAAGTGCAGAAATCAGTGATTAAAATGAATATTTATACATGTGCACAGTGAAGCTTCAGAATGAAAGAATAGAAATTTCATAAGTTTTCAGCTGAGAATTAGCAACTGAGAATCGGAGCTTCAGCAGAGAATTGATGACCGAGAATTGAAGCCTCAGTAGGAATCTGTGAAGTGTAATGAAATAGTCTATATAATTGATCGGGCGCAGCCCGCCACATCTGACTAAATAATATTATAAATATACTTCTCTTTCAAGACTCAGAAGTGAATTACAGTATCAAGTTAGAAAAGAAGAATGATAAGAATATTAAGTCATTATAAGACTGTCTTTATAATATGTCTCAAGATGAACTTCTTCTTCTTCAGAAGACACTCAATAATCTGTTAAATAAGAGATTTATATATATTAGTAACTCTTCTACTGCCGCGTCTATTCTCTTTACAAAGAAATCAGATAAAGATTTCTGATTCTGTGTGAACTATCAAGATCTGAATAGATTGATAAAGAAAGATTGTTATCTCTTATCTCTTATCAATGAAATTCTAACATGTATAAGATGAGCTTAATAATTTATAAAACTAGATATCATTATTATATTTCATAAGATTTATATTACTGAAGAAGATGAATAACTTACAGTATTCTGAACATGTTATAATCTCTTTGAATAAGTAGTTACACTCTTTGAACTGACTAATACTTTTAGTATATTTCAGAAGTATATTAACTGAGCACTCTGAGATTTTCTTAATAAGTTAATATCTGTATATCTAGATAACATTCTCATTTTCACTGATGAATTCAGAAAGAAATATCAGAAACATGTATGAAGAGTATTATAATAATTATAAGAAGCAAAACTATTAATAAATATAAGTATGACTTTAAAGTCAAGAGTATAAAATATCTACATTTTATCATAGAAGCTGATAAGAGAATTTAAAAGAATTCTGAGAAGATCTTCATCATTCTTGAATATGAAGCTTTATATACTGTGAAAGATGTATAAAACTTCATCAGATATACTAACTTCTATCAGTGATTTATATAAGACTTCTCAGATATTATGAGATTTCTTATAGAACTTATTAAGAAGAACTCAGTATTTTAGTGATTAGCAGACACTGAAGCTGCATTTATACAGATAAAGAAGATATTCATTAATACTTTTCTATTAATAATATTCAATTCTGATTATAAAATATGTATTAAATCTGACTTCTCTGACTATATCATAGAAGAAGCTATATTATAATATGATAATAAAAATATCTTATAATTATATATCTTCATGTCTAAGAAACTGAGTCTCACTAAATACAATTATGAGATCTATAATGAGAAACATCTTATAATTATACACTGTTTAAAAGAATAAGATTCTGAACTTTAAAAGTGTCTTCAAATTTGAGATAATCACAGATTATAAAAATCTTAAGTATTTTATAATTATCTGCAAGCTTACTGAATATCAGATACAATAATTCAAGCTATTAAGCTGTTTTCATTTTACTATACACTATTATCTTAGCAGTCAGAACTTAATAACAGATACTCTCTTATAATAAGAGTAAGATATATCTTCTAATGTAATAGATACTTACTGAATACACTGAGAACACTGACTCTTAGATCTGAAGATATTAGTTAATCAAGATGAAATAACTCATAACACTATATATACTTCTCTGATTAGAACATTCTCTCTTTAAACTGATACTAATACAGATATCTCAACTTCTTCTGAATCTACACTGAATAAAACTATTTAATATCTCAGGTCAGTAGAACCCTTGAAAGATCATTATATACAGTTATTCACAGTCTGAATAATCAGTTATACATGAGTTATGCATCTCTTACATTATCTGAGTGTGTAAGAATTTGAAGTGAGAGACTCTGTGTTATTTGTGAAATCACAGAGTATTACTTTCATCTATTAAACATTCTGAGATGTCAGTCTTTATATGTAATTCCAAAGAGAATCAAGACACTTCTTATTATACTACTTCAGTGAGAGTTTGAAGAAGTTCATGAGTCTGAGCTGCTGTATATCACAGTTCATTCAGTGTAGAAGAAATGACGATATCAGTGTTAGTTCAGAGAGAGAATGTTGTAATCAGAGAAGTATGTTTAGTGTCATAAGTAGTCTCATTGTGATTAACTAATATCTTTGAATTCAAGAGTCAGTGTTCTTGATTCATTCAGTACATATATGTTACATCAGACAGTATATCTTGTTCTCATTGTAAGAGTGCATCTATCATCAAGTTCTGGCTGCTGAAGTGGTAGTGTATTGTAAAATAGAAGTGACTTAGAAACTCAGATCATTGTATCTGTCATTCAGTGAGTTTATGAGTAGTTGTGAAGTATTTGAGATTTGCATAATCTGTGATTATCTCAAATTCAGAGACACTTCAGAGTTCAGAGTCTCATTCTTCTAGATAGTGTATAATCATAAGAAGTTTCTTATCATAGATCTTGTGATTGCATTCAGCAGGACTCAGTTTCTTAGATATGAAGATGCATGATTATAAGACATCTTTATCATTATATTACAATATAGCTTCTTCTGTGATATAATCAGGGAAATCAGCTTTAACAACTGTCTCATGATCAGAATTGAATGTTATCAGCAGAGAGGTATTAATGAACATCTTCTTCATCTGTGTAAATACAGCTTCAGTATCTACTAATCATTGAAATATTGAGTTCTTCTTAGTAAGTTCTATAAGTAATCTTATAATATCTGAGAAGTTTCATATAAATTACTGATAGAAGTTAGTGAATCTGATGAAGCTTTGTATATCTTTTACAGTGCACAGAATCTGTTATTCATAAATAGCAGAGATCTTCTCAGAATTCATTTGAATTCTCTTATCAGCTTCTATGATAAAGTCTAGATATTTTGTATTTTTAATCTTAAAATCACACTTGTCTATATCTATTGATAGTTCCGCTTTCTGTAGTCATTGTTAGACTGACCGGCGGGCTCATGAATTTCACATTTGATTTCATTTAATCTGATAGACTGACCGTGTGACCGTGTCTGAAACCAGGACCAGAATTTTTGATAGTCTCATTACCAATTCAACTGATCCTGTTACACAGTTTTAACATTAGATAGTAATTTCATACTGTCTCAGTGAGACTTACTGTCTACTCTTATCATATTTTTCAAATGAGATCATGATTTTCACTTCTCAATTTAAATTATTTTTATTACTTTAAATGACTTTAAATCTCATTTAAGCATTATCAAAAAGTGTTACTTTTTAAAAAATTAAAAATAGTCTCAAAAAACCTTAAAATGTCTAAAAATAGTAACTTTATGTCAAGAATGAGACTAAATGAGATTAAATGAGATCACTTTCTCATTTTTTTCAAGTCATGATTTCATTTTGAGATTTGATATATAGTCACTTTGCATGTTTTTTTAATGACTACTTCTAGCAGAATTCACATCAAGAAATGTATGAGATCAGATCAAATGAAACCAAATGTGAAATTCATAGTCTCAGTGGCCAGTCTATGATCTGATCTCATACATTTCTTAGCGTGAGTCTCACCAGAACCAAGCCGCAAAAAAATGTGAAAATGAACTATTTCTGAGAGAAATGATGTGAAAAATGATCAGATTTAATTCAAGAACAGTGAAATGAGAGTAATTTCTCAGAATAAACTGTGAAAGATAATCATTCTTTTAAAATCAGAATGAGACTGAGACTGAAGATTAAAATGTAAGAATAAGTGCTCGCAGGCAATTATTCGGGTGTTTGCAGCTTGGTGTGATATGTACTGTTAACTACTAGAAGTGTTCACAGTAGAAAGATAAATGTAGAGGTCAAATGTATAATAGCATTCAAGCTGAGTTGTGAATAGTATTCATGAACTCCAGTCTATATAGTTGTGTGTAGCCAAGGGCCGCTAGCTCTATTGATTACATGAGAGATAGAAATAGAAGTAAAGAATTCATAAGAAGCAGGATTTCTTACATATCTCCCCCTCTCTAAGGCTTCATCTGCAAAGCCTTTCACTGAGTGACTTCATAGTCAGCTCAGCACTGCAGTGATACTCACTAAAAACTCTTCACATCTATAAAAAATCTCAGTGAGGAAAAATCCCTTATTACTGTAAAGAGAAAAGAGTCTGTCACTCAGTTTCTTATTTCACAAGATTCTTTGTGATCTACAGATTCTTCTCTGACTATCACACAGATTCATCTTGCATCTTTCATACAGAAGGGTTTCAGTTGACTCTCAATCATTTTCATAAGATTCTTGTGTAATCATCACACAGATTCATCTCACAGATGAATCACTCTCTGTGAGATCACTCTTATCAAAGAGAAATATTCATGAGTTAATCTTTCATTCATTCTTGTAAATCATTACTCTTTAACACTGTAGAATTGTGAGGAATTTTCCATTCTTTCACCAACTCTGTAGAATTGTAGAATCAAGATGTTCATAGTCTGCAATCACTCTTTATAATCATATAGAAAGATTCAGACCTGTAATTCATAATCACTCTTGTTTACTAGAGTGATCTGACTGTTCTGTGAGATCACTCACAGTGCAAGCAAACCTCTCTAGAGTAGTATAAATATCTCAGATCTGTCTGTGAAATCTTATCTTCTTTTTTCTTTTTCTGTAACAGCTCTCATTCTTATAAACTGTGAGTATTCTTATTCATCTGTGAAGTGTTTTCACTCAGATAACAGAGAGAGAGTGTTTCTGACAATGTCCATGTATTGATTCAAGAACTTCTCAAGAATAAAAATTTTTTCAATTTCAATATCTTCACAAATAATGTCTGGTCATCATCAAGCTTCTCATGAGCGTTCTCATGACTTCTCTGATCACTTTTTACCAGCTGATGAAGCAGGGATGCTGCTGTCTATGACTGCATCTTCATCTCTCTCAGTCCTGCCATCACACTCAATCTTCAGGCCAGCAGCTCATCTCATCCCTTCCTCAGGCCAGTCCCTGACTTCAAGCAGTGCAGTCCCTCTCTTTGCTGTAAGTCTTCTCACAAGTAATTTCTTATAGATTCTAGCTGATAGTTCTTACAAAGCTCTCAGTGTTGTCAGTGCCTCCTGCGGTCTCACAGGCCTACAACCACTCTCTCCCTGCCCACACAATCTCTGACCAGGCATATGTGAATATGTCTAGGTTTTCTATCAATAATCCTCGCACCACAGTGCATTTCTGCAATTCCATTATCAATGAGAGATGAGTCCCTGGGTACTCACAAAATCCGGGTAATCAAGGCAATGCGAATGCCATGAATTTGTGACAGAAGTTGATCTGAATAGATGAGCCCTCTCTTCACATTCTCATTGTTTTCAGGCTGAATACTTCAGCACAACTGAAAGAGTGAACACAGCTTCATAAGAGATATCTGATTACATGCACAGGTGACCAGTCTTCAAGACTCTGCTGCAACTGTATATACCCTGGTGTTCAGCTCTTCTAGAGTCTATACATTTCTGACAGCCTTCATATCAAATGTAACAATTATCTGTACTGCAGATATAATACTCTCTGCTTCTTTGAAGAAGAAAATTAATAGTTGTGAGAGGATTGAGTGTCACAGATATTGATAATATGAGTGTGAGTTTTCTTTATTTTTTCTTTATTAATCTCTAAATTGTATTCACAGTTCTGTTTATTTTCTTGTTTTTTAGCTTTAATAAGAACATGTTTTCTTCTTTTCTTGTATACACTGCAGACTGTTCATCCCAGTAGAAACTCATTATCTTATAGACTAGAATTCACAAATGACAGTGTTAATATCTTTATCATAACTAGGTTCTTAGCAAAGACTGCACTATTCTGACTTATCAGAATTTACAGTATGAAAGTCATGTCTCAGCTTCTGCAGATGTCTTATCTGCTCAGATGATTCTCAAGTGAACTCATTCACCTTGTCAGAATATTCTTGTCACTGAATCTTGAATCAGAGCTTACAACCTCACTTCTCTGAGTCAATAATTTCTTTAACCTGATATTCTCTTTCACTCTCTAGTGCTTCATAGACAGAGTGATGAGTCATAGAATTCTCTTCTGAGAATTCCTTGTATTCACAGAGTAAAGAGACATGAAAAACATTATATATCTGCAACTCAGATGACAGTTCTAATCTGTAGAACTGTGAGCTAACTTTCTTCATAATCTTGCAAGGCTCTGTCTGCAAGAGATTCAGCTTCTTACTAGATCTTCATATAATGATGTTTTCTAGACTCAGTCAGACTCTATCATCTTTCTTGAAACTCTTCATAATATACTTGAAGTCATAGTATCTCTTCTGATACTCTTGAGCCTTTCTCAAGAATTTACAGGCTTTCTTCTGAATCTTCTGAATTCTCTCAGCTTGTTCACAGACATCATCACACTCTATAGTATACTCTTATAAGTTCATCAAGATCATCTGTGAATAAGTCTCAGTGAGCATCTCAAAGAGGATTTTATCTATACTGACATGTTTTAAGTTATTATACACAAACTCTGTGAGTGATAATCAATGTACTCAGTCATTCTGATTGTAATTAACAAAACACTGCAGATACTGTTTTAATATACTTATCAGGCATTCTGTCTGATCATCTGTCTGTTGATGAAAAGTCATGCTTAGATCTCATGAGATCTTCAGTATAGTTATCAGATCAGATCAGAACTCTTCTGCAAAGATTGATTCTCTGTCTGAGATAATGTTCACAGACAATTCATGCAACTGAATCACATCACAGACAAAGATATGAGTTAAATTCTTTGACTTCAAGTTCTTGCAGATGAGTATAAAGTGTGTTATCTTGATGAAGTAATTCACTATCACCAGCACACTGTCATAGCAGGCATCATATATGTTCTTGCTTTCAGAGAGGCTCACAAGAGCATTCATTCCTAGCTGTTTCCAAGGTTCTCACAGAATGAGTAGAGGAGTAAGTTCTTTATATAGTCTGAACCACACTACCCGCGAACCCTGACAAATAGTACAAGAATTCACTATCTTCTTCATAAGTTCTTGCATCTTCAGTCAGAAGTATTTTCTTATAAGCAACTCATGAGTTCTAGTATCTGCAAAATAACCTGCTAGAGAAGAGTCATGATGTCTTTTAATGAGTTCTATGCATAGAAACTTATTCACAGGCATATAAATCTGACCCTCTCTTTGCAAGAGATCATTTAAGTTTCTTCAATTCTTTATTTCTGCAGGATTGATCCCTGCTGTAAGCAGTTTCTGAATATACTGAGTATATTCATTCTTCAGTTGCAGTTCAGACAATCTGAATAGAAGATCTTGTGAAGACTTATGCTCTGTTTCTTCTTGCACCAGGTCTTTCATGGCACTTCTCAAAGCCTGCAAATTCTTCAGATTATAGATACTCTCTTCAAGGATTCTTGTGAAGATTCTCAGAGTGTTGACTCTCAGTGTTGTAGAGAGTAGTTGTGCAGGCTTCTTCCCTCTCTCTTCTCTCTTCTCTCACAGGGGATTGAGAGACTCTTCAGTCAATCTCTTCACAACACTCAGTCTGAGCATCTTACAAAGCTTTTCTGTCTTCTCTAGTCTCTCTGTGTCTGTTGCTCTGGTCTCCTTAACATAGTCTGGCCTGTGAGAGAGTTCATTCACTGAGTTCTTAGTTCTCTTGATATGTTCTATCTTGAACCAGAACTCACTCAGTCTCTGAGCTCAGTGAATCTGTCACTGCAAGAGTTCCTTGATTAAAGTAAACTGTTGCAAGCTGTCATGATCAGTTCTAACAGTAATCACTGTCACAAGACTCTCAAAGTAGTGATGTCAGTGATGAAAGAATTTCACTATTATAAGAAGCTTCTGATCATGAATGTCATAGTTGATCTCTGCAGATTGCATCTTCTGTGAGAAAAAGGCCACTGAAACCCAGTTCTTATTTGACTGTAGTTGCAAGACTATTTCTGAAATCACAAAGAAGGAGACATCTGTCTTCAATCTGATTAAGAGCAAGAGATCAAAGTGGAACAGTATCACTGTATCTGTGAATATCTGTTTCAATCTTGTAAAGGCTCTGTGAGCTTCTGAAATAAGAAAGTCCTTACAGTTCTTTCTTCTCAACAACCTTTTCATTCTCTATTCACAGAATGACTTCTTCTTGTTTTCATTCTTCAGCATGTCTGTAAGAGCTAAGAAGATTCTTGTGAATGCAAAGATAAACTGTCTATAGAAATTCACAAAGCTCAGAAAGATCTGAATCTCATGAATACTAGTTAACTTCAGTCATGATAGAATAGTCTTAACTCATGAAGGTTTCATCTGAATATCATCTACAGTGATTACATATTCTAGGAAATTAATTCAGTAAGCACTGAAGTTGCACTTTACAAGCTTAATATACAGTTCTGTCTCATCTAAGACCTTCAACACACTTCACATATGCTCAGTGTATTCTTTCTCCTTCATGGAGTACATCATCACATCATTCAGATATATTATCACAAAGACATTCAGATATGCATGAAGTGTTTTATTAATGAAAGACTGAAATGCTGCAGAGGCATTAGTCAGATCAAAAGGCATCACTAGATATTCAAACAATCTCAGTGCAGTTCTAAAGACAGTCTTTCATTCATTCTCAGACTGTATTTGCAGTCATACATATGCATTGATCATATTCAGTTGTGTGAATATGACAGCTTCTGTGAGATGATTGATCACATCCTCAATCAGAGACAGGGAATAGCAACTCTTTATTGTCTTGAAGTTCAGGTTGCAGTAGTCTACACACAATCTGAGATCTTCATTCTTCTTCTTCATGAACATCACAGAGGCTCCCGTGGAGGCCTGTGAAGATTGAATGAAGTCATTCTTCAGATTCTTCTTCACATAGGTCTGCAAGACCTCTGTCTTGTAATGAGAGAGCTTATAGATTGATTCTCAGAAGGGTTTCTGCCCTTCTATCAAATCTATTGCTAGATTCTTCTCACAGTGAGAAGGAAGCTCAGCTGCCTTAGCTGGGCTGAACACCTCTGCAAGATCTCAGTATTTCTCTGATATCTGAAGCTCAGTTTCCATGATCACAAGATTCTCAGACACTTACAAAGTCATCACATAGATGAGCTTGTCTTCTCTAATCAACTCTGCAGCATCAACTGCTTCTATCTTCATAAGTGAGTCTGTCAACACTGATCAGAAGTATAAACCTGACTTGCAGACAGCTATATGCAGATTGTGTCTTTGAAGTTATGTAAGTCTTAAATACATGTCATCTATGATGTCTGCAATAATCACAGTTTCTGCAAATCTTCTTCAGATTTCAGAGAGATCTTGCAATTCAAAGATGACTCTTGCAAGTCTCTCAGTTCTCAGATCTGAGTTCTCACACCCTGCTTGTTGCAAGAGCAGATTCTCAGTCTCCACCTTTCAGCTCATTCACTCCGCGAGCTTTAGGGACATCACAGTGATCTGAGATTCTGAGTTCATCAATGCTTTTCATGCTTGTGAGACAGCAGTACTGTGACATGATCTCTTCTTACAAGCAAGCATTTTCATTGAGAGAGTAACAGATTCAGATGTCAGCTTCAAGACTCTTAAGAAGGCTGTTGCTGACTCTGTCTGTGACTCCTCAAATTCCTATTTTGATTTGTCTGAACAGTTTGTGCAGAGATATCCTGATTTAGAACAGATGAAGCAGAGTCTCTTTTCCTTGATCTCTCTGTTGTATACTCTGTTTGCAGGAGCTTGTGAAGCTCTTTCTCTCTGCTCAGCAGTCAGATATGAATCTCTCTGTGTCTTGTCATCTTTTCCTGACAAATCTGTTCTCTGTTGTCCTGGCCCTCGCAGAGTCAGTCAATGGTCCACTCTTCACAGGTCTGTGGCTCTCACAGTGATCTGCAAGTGATGAATGAGAGTCATCAGTTTCTTCAGAATTAAGAGCTTAGAGTCTTACTCAATGAGCTTGTCCTGCATGCCTTTATTCAGTCTCTTTGTGAATATCATCATTCAGATCTTGTTTCAGGGCCCTGTTTTCACAGGTCTTAATTCACATCACAATTCTATGAAGCACTGTGAGTAGTCTTCATCAGATTCCTCACCTCTTTTCCTAATATTGATGATCACAGTTCAGGTGTTCTCTGTTCAGCTCATGAAGTCCCTCAACTTGTTCTCTAGATAGGTCTTAAGAACAGATCATTGAAATCTCTCATGATCATTCTCTAGATGATTCAGCCAGTCCTTGGCTTCAGTGTAATAGAGGCCTGTCATCATGTAGGTGACAGCTTCTTCATCTTTCATATCACACAGCCGGGCTTGTGAGTCAATTTCAAATGCAAACTTATAAAAGCTTTTATAGATTGTGATTTGATAGATGACCTTAAGTGGTCATGACTTGAGAAAGTTTCTTTTCAGTTTGCAGATGTCTCTGGAGATCATGTCTAGAGACTCAGTTTGAGAATGTTTGCAGACAGCAAGCATTCCTTGTAGAAAAATAGCTTGATTTCATGAGAGATGCTCAAGAATGTTCTTCACTGAGATTGGTTTATTCATGGGTTCAGAGGGTTCCCCTGTCACAGATGCAGAGAATGGTGTCCTGCAAGTGATTGATAAGTCCTCTGAGACTTCTTTCATGGGGGTTATCCATGATTCAGGTGGCTGCTCCTGGGTGTCTGCAGTAGAGTTCACAGGGGTTGAAGCATGTGAGTTTCTAGTTCTTCCAGTCATAATGAGCAGTTGCTGACTGACTGAGCTTGAAATGTAAGAATAAGTGCTCACAGGCAATTATTCAGGTGTTTGCAGCTTGACATGATATGTACTGTTAACTACTAGAAGTGTTCACAGTAGAAAGATAAATGTAGAGATCAAATGTATAATAGCATTCAAGCTGAGTTATAAATAGTATTCGCGAACTCCAGTCTATATAGTTGTGTGTAGCCAAGGGCCGCTA